GTGATCTCTGTTTCAGCAGTTTAACTTGTCTTTGCTTGCTTCCTGGAGGAATTGAAGTAAAGTAGCCACCAATACGTAATTCTTAGCAGGATCAACGAGTTGCTCGTCTGATGGTTCTGTTCACATAGTGCCAATATTTTCGGAAAGTTTGCTTACAAAAGGATGTATAATTGGCGTTCCTTCCGTAAGCTTTTTCAAATGTAAATAATTTAAGATAATTTCTTTGGTTGTGTGTGTTTGTCCTTGATATTTCAATGAATTATGGAAATTTTACGTTCGAGTCTTGTACATTTGCTCTTTTCTTGAAATTGTTTGATCTTACGGTGGAATTATAAGATATGATAGGTGGCCTAATGCATGGAGAAACGGGGAATATGCTCCTACTTATCAGTGTATTTGTTTCTTGACTGTGATTTTATGCGCCAGCATCTTCAACAAGAATCCCAATAGGATCCCAGTGCATTCTACTGCATAAATGATCCTACATGGAAAGTGCTCAGTCTGAAATCGATGATTATTTTTTTGTCGGAACGAGAAGTAAAAGATTGCTATTGTGCTTAGAGTCCATTGCTGCATCATACAATTAATTGAATTATCAATAGTGCATTCATGGCAACTCAATACCATCGGCATCACTGGGTGAAAATTTTGGCCAAACATGGACTGCCAATTTGAACCCACGACATGAGGCACAACAGAGATAATCACATCATGAATATTGTTATCATGTCTAGAATAAAAAGCATCCAGTGTACTAGTTTGTCCCAATCATAGTTTCCCTTGCAAGACAGCACCACCATCACAGGTTCATGATGAATGAACGAGCTTGTGCTCGCATGCTCACACAAGAACAAAAAAAGACGCAGAGATGGATGCACAAGTGTTTCTTACTTCAGTAGCTATAAGTAATTTATAGAATAGAAACCCCTGTTGCAGCAGGGAAACAACTAATTTAGAAGTATCCAAACTGAAATCAATGTGCTGATACTTGGGTACAATGCATGTTGACTACCCCCACAAATTGTAGAAATTTGAAGTTCAATTGATCAACCTAGATGCTCTATTACCATCTACGAGTATCTTCAGGAAGAGCTGAGCTGCTGAGTGTATATCTTCACTTTCTATTCTTGTTCTCCTCCCTCACATTCTCCCGTTTCTTATACAGCTTCTCAAGTTGCCGCTTTGCTTCACAGTTGGGGAAGTTTGTCAAATCATAGTAATGAGGGGCTATGTCAATCAACCTGCAGATAAATTTAAAGTGATGGCAAAAATAACTTTAAAAAATCCAACTAAGATTTCTTTAAGCCATAAAAATATCAACAAAATATGTATATACATCAAACTTCAAAAGTCTCTCTTCAATTAAAGAATCATTTGATTATTCTCAATTGAACTAGGAAACCTTTATCTTCGCCATGAAAAACCAACAAAAGCTAATTGCCAATGAACAAACAAATTTTTTAGAGCATCTTCTTCTTGTTCCATTGCATGCATCATGGCAGTTGGCAGACCCACCATGACCTCCAACTCCTCCAATTGAGATTCACACCTATAACCACCCACAAAAATCTCAACCACAAGGCCACCAGGCCAACTCTCTCCCTTCACCAACTTTCTTAGGGAAAAGAATACCACAAGATACATGGAGTCACAATTTCATGAATTAACGTGCAATTGAACAGAACAGAAAAGGTGACAACTTGAACTACTTTTAATTGGAATTTCCATATCAAAGATATATTTATGAAGTTCTAGTATAAAGATGTGCAAAGCTTCTTGTAACAGAGAAGGTTTCTCCCATGGTAAAAGACAGGCATCCGAGTCTATAATTACAAGTACACAAAAAATAGCACTAAGAAATTCCCATCTATCAAAATCCCAAAACCCCCAAATAATAGAAAAGGAACCTTCTTATCCTAAAAATGTTCCTAGAATCCACTGAGATAATTCATATGGAGTGACACAACATGCAAGCAGCTGGAAATGAATTTACCCAGATTAAATGAAAGATCTGTGAGGTCTCTCTTGGTTCTACTACAGGAAAGATCTAGATGACAATGCCTATTTAATTTATGTGCTAGCTGCATGCATGTAAGCAGCATCAAAGAGGTGACAAAACAAAAAATAATAAGAAGAAGAAAATAATACATAAATATGCAGAAAAACAGTCGAATGGCATAGACCGAAACTTACCATTCACCACGAATATCAGTTACTGTACGGATGAAATTTCTGCTTGTTAAGACATATTCGTTGTAGATAACCCACTCTGGCTTATGGTCCAAGCAATTTGAAGGATGCAAGTGAACAACCTGCGTGATAATTAACCAAAAAGAAAAATGAAAATAAATAAATAAATAATAAAAAAGAAATACACGCATAATTCAGCATCTGAAAGCATGTTTTAGAGCTTCCAACCATAACAATACACATTTTCTATAATCACATACTTGATTGTCTTTCACAGTAAGATAGTGCCCGGTGCGCTCTAAATGGGCAACCTGCATGAAATATCCAGCTAGCATAGCTTTTCTAATGTTGACGTAGTAATCACGGCTGTTGAAATCTGTGCTGCATAGCTTGAGGTTGAACCTGGCCATAATACGAGCTAGCTGCTGTCGAACATTATCTGCAGATTTCAATGCTCTATGATTGACAAAGTTCTCATAACACCATTGCGGATCCTCCTCTGAAATTAATAAAAAATCAAAACAAATATTAATACCAACATAGAAGATGAAAAGATAGGAAATAAGATCATAAGAGATCAACTACAGAAACTTACTATTTTGTTTGTAAGCGTGATACACATTCAAGAGTGTAAGATGATCCCCATCAATGTGACCAAACCGAGCTTTGGCTTCATCTGCAGCTTTTTGGGCCTCCCTAGGCCGGACAAAGCAATTGGGTACTATAGAAAAAATTGGTTATCACAGAGGAGGCCCACGGAAGAGGTCAGCAGATGCATAGAGGCGAGACACCATTTGCTTGATGAGAGAATACTGAGAAACTGCAACTATCTGCATCAGCACTTACTTAGAAATCCTTGGTACATGCCAGCGTGAGGCATGAAACCCAGACTAGATGCTGATGACAACCTAAGCAGACACACCAACCACATACATGAATGCATTAGCACTCATGTATGCAGTTGAATGTCTGATATCACATTGCATAGAAGCATATCTATGCATGTGAGGAAAGAGTGAATGAACTTCACAACCGGTGAAGCACTCGCTTAATTCAAAACAGAATTTACTTACATGGAGAACTAGGATAACATCCCAAACCGACGCAATAAGAAAGCAATAGTAAGAGTGGATACCTGAAAGCATAGCAGATATAGAAAGGATTTCATTTGAACAGTTGAATTCAGGGCTAACAACAAGCATTTTTGCCATCTGGGGATCCAGTGGAAGTTCACTCATAATTTCACCCAGCTTGGTCATGTTCCCATCATCATCCAGAGCTCCAAGGTAATTCAAGACCTCCAAAGCTCTCATCAGTGTTTCTGGAGCAGGTGGATCCATAAAATCAAAATGGACCAGGTCATCTATTCCCAATTTCTTCAAAGTAAGGACTGTGTTAGCTAGGTTTGACCGCAATATCTCTGGATAAGTTTGTGGTTGGAGATCATTATGGAAACTCCTTTCAGTGTAAAGCCTGAAACATTTTCCTGGTTGTGTTCTCCCAGCACGTCCTGATCGTTGGTGAGCACTTGCCTTCGATATAGGAGATACCAAAAGAGACTCAACACGAATTCTTGGGTTATAAACCTTTTGCTTTGCGAACCCTGGATCAATAACATACACTATGCCATCAATGGTTAAAGATGTTTCCGCAATATTTGTTGATATAACTATCTTCCTTCCAGCAGGACCACCCTCCACTGCAGGTGGAGGAGCAGGTTCAAAAATCTTCTGCTGCATAGCTGGAGGAAGCGTGGAATACAGAGGAACTACTTTAACAGGACCCACCTGGTCTCCCATATTACCTATTTCTTTCGTTATCTTGCGACATGCATCTTCAATCTCCTCTTCTCCAGTAAGAAAGACAAGTATATCACCAGGAGGTTCACACGTGTGAATCTGTACAACAGTGCGTATGGCTGCTTCCAGGTAATCCCTTTCCGGATCCTGGGTGTAAAATATCTCCACAGGGTGAAGCCTTCCAGGGACTTTCATGAGCGGTGCACTACTAAAGTAACCCTGAAACTTTTCAGCCTCAAGTGTAGCACTCATCACAACTAGTTTCAGGTCCGGCCTATTTTTCAACACTTCCTTCAGAAGTCCAAACAAAACGTCTGTTGCCAATGTTCTCTCATGAGCTTCATCAAGAATTATCACTTTGTATCTTTCCAACAGCGGATCTGTCATGGCTTCTCTCAAAAGCATACCATCGGTTAAGTACCTGTATGGAAGAAAACATAAATCAGGATATTATGCCCTTAGAATTCAGAAAATTTTGAAATACATAAAGCAAAAAAGAGGTAAAACCGATAAATTTATATCAACAAAACAAAAATTTTACTTTAGAACTGTTCTAGCACTGCTGCAGTCCTCAAACCGAATACTATAACCTACTTCCTCTCCAATAGTTACATCCATTTCTTCGGCAACTCGACGTGAAACAGACATTGCAGCCACCCTCCTGGGCTGGGTGCATCCAACCATGAACTTCCTACGCTTATCAGGGGTCTCTATCTCTATTGCGTCAAGAACAAACTGAGGAATCTGTGGAAAAAGAAACAAAAGTTCAGATCTAAACTCAAAGAGAAGCTTGAACCAGCAACCAAATATAAGATCAAAACAGGTCAATGGGAGTAACCTAATTAAGACTATAAGCAAACCCTTCGCAAAAACATTTACAGGCTTAGGTACGTCAATAGAAAAGGCAAGCAGAGGAAAGGAAGTAGCAAATAAGGTGAACAATTGCTAGTTTGCACCGTGTAAAAATTAAATCACATCATAAGGTGAAAACTTATATAGTGAACGTCAGTCTCAGTCTCAAACTCAATCCTCAGGACCTACCGCATTGTAGCTAATTTGGGCAATTCACTCAAAAGATTGAAGCTTATCAGAAAACCAATATATACATCCATTTTTTGTTAAATTAAAAGGTCAAACCATAAAATAAAATAAATTCACCAAAAACTAACGAATTAGCAATGTTACAGAGTTTTTGGATGCTAACCTGAGTGGTTTTACCACTACCCGTTTCACCAACTAGAATTAGGGTTTGATTTTCCTTGAGAGCCTGCAGGAACTCCTCTTTTTGGTGCCACACTGGGAGGGTCTTCCTCTTCTCCAATATCTCGTAGTATCTCTGAGAATAGGGCCTTCCATTCCATTTGTTTATTGTCGACACTGCCGTGGCGGCCAAGGCGCCATTGGACTTCTTTGCCGAGATCGCTGCCTCGTCAACTACGTCGAACAAGCTCACCTTCCTCTTTCTCTCTGTTCCCATCTACCTAACGTTATCCAATTGGTCGCCTGATTTCAGATAATACTCTCCAGAAATCGAGAATAGTAGCTGAGAATTTGGAGAGTCCGAAGCTAATCACAAGACTTGGATTGAGCAAAGGGCTGGAGTCGAAACCCTAGAGAGCGAAAGAGAGAGATAGCAACAAATTAGGGTTGGTCTAATTTTATATGGAGACATAGTATTCTGGATATTGTAATTGTCGGCATTTAACGGCCTGCTAACGATCTGGGCTTTGGCCATTAGAAAATGGGAAAAATTGTTGGACATCACAGCCTACTTTTAAAGATTTGCGTTCTAAAATCAAGTGGAAAGTTTCACATTTCACAAATCAGATATTTCATATTTAAATATTAAATATAAAATTTTCATCCCAAACCCAAATCAACTTCCCCCCCATCCACTCTCTCTATATCCCGCTTCTCCCATTTCTCTCTATTTATCCCACTTTGTTGGCGATTGTGCTCATGCGGTGGTAATGCGCTCACACGACATTGTTGGTGCAGCGTGGACATAATGTCACACGGTGGGCAACGGCCCCTATGTCATTTTCCTGAGATTTGGACGCCCTTTGCCTGGCTTCCGCGGTGTGGCAACCGACGATGGAAGTTTTCGAGCTACTACTTTTATCTTATGACATTTTTGTGGTGTTTTTGCCGGTGGTAGTGCAGGCGATATTAGTGTGCAGTGGTGGTGGCGAATTTGTGGATCTTTCGGTAGGGGTGGGGGTTGTGGTGTTGTTAGATTGAGATAGAGGAGATGATTGTATCGGTGGTGGAGGGCGGAGGTTTGTAGTTAAAAATGGTGGTTTGTTGATGGCTATGGTGGTAAAGTGGCGATGAATTTGGCGCAACGATTTGTTAATATTTTTTTACAATGTGTTAGATTTGTTGAAGGTGACGATGGCTCTGGGCTCGATGGTGGCGACAGTGCTATTGGGGACAGTGGGGAAATCGTGGTAACAAACGTTGATGTTAATCACAAATTATTTGGTTGACTGTGGCCATTAAATTAATTAATTAGTGACCAATAAACAATATGTGAGCAAGAAATAATGTGTGATTTAAAAAATTGTTAATTTTTGACTGATACTTTGATAATTTGTGACTGTCTAATAAGTTGTGGCTTATATTGTTTATGATTTGTGACCGATGAACAAATTGTGACATATAGAATTTGTAAATTGTGATAGTAAAATAATTCGTGACATATAAAAATTTTGATCTGTGATCGAAAAACAATATGTGACTAACTAAATTTGTGACCAAATTGTATAAATCTGTGACTTTAATATATTTAATTAATTAAAAATATAATTAATTAATTAAATCATGAATAAATTGTAATAAATATCTGATTTTTGAAATTTGAAACTTTTATTCTTAATTTTGAAATAGGTGATAGTTAACCTCTTATTTATGAATTTTTCCCAAATCATATCACCCATTTCAAAACTAAAAACAAATGTTTCAAATTTCAAAAATTATATATTTATTAAAATTTATTTATAAATTAAAAAAATTAATTATATATTTTATTAATTAAATATATAAAGGTCACAAATCTATATAATTTGATAATAGATTAACAATTTAATTAGTTACACATTATTTTTCGATTACAAATCAGAATTTTTATATATCATAAATTATTTTACAGTCATAATTCAAAATTTTTATAGGTTACAATTTGTTCATCGATTATAAATGAAAATTTAAAAGTCACAATTCACAAATATTATAAGTCATAACTTATTCTATACTCGCAAATTATCGATCGTAAATTATCAATTTTTCAGATCATATATTATTTTTTTGTCACAATTTATCTTTTTCATTAATCATATATTGTTTATTTGTCACAGGTTAACCAAATTAATGGTTATGGTCAACTAAATAATTTGTGACACCACAAATACTTTTGACCGCCATCGTCGCCAGAACCACCACCTCAAACAAATCAACCCATCACAAAAAATACCACCACATCATCACGCCAGATCCACTACCATGTCGTCAACACCGCTGCACATAGCAAACCACCACAAATGGTACCATACTACGTACTGCACACACCCAATCACCGCATATAGTACCCACAGCACACCATCGTCGGATTCATCAGAACTCTTCGTTCCTACCACCGCACACCTCCACCTCCACCTCCACCTCCACCGCACCACAACAGCACCATCACGCACAGCACCATACCATCACCGCACCTATAGCACCAATATAGCTCATTATCGTCGTACCCACTAGAGATCTCCATCCCCACCACGAAACCATCAATCACCATACCACTCAAAAATAAAATAAGGAAGAAGATCTATAGCGACGAGGAGTTGTCAAATGGGTAAAATAAAGCAGTGGAAGATTTGCAACGCTGCCCAAAGATCTGCAACGATGGAGGCAAAGGCTACTGTTGCAGCAACAAGTTTGGAGTTTTTATGGGTGTGGTCGAGCATGGTGATAGCGAGGTGGAGCCAACGATGTGGTCGCCCTAGCGAGGGTGGTGGCAACGGTGACGGGCGGCTAGAGAGATGAGAGAAGTTGGAGTGGAAAGAGAATGGAAACAATGAAAATTATTAAGATTTTGGTAGGTGTAGTTGGGTAGGATGAATATGTATATTTAATTATGTAATGTAATTATTAATATTTAAAATATGTTAATTAATTAACAAAACATCTGATTTTTGAAATAATAAACCTGACCTATGATTTATAGTATGAGATCTCTAAATGTATTAGTTCCTGTAATTTTCACTTGGAAAAATATAGGATCAGTCCCAAGTTTTAAAATACAAAATGTCATCGCTTTTCTTTTTATTTTTATGGAACTTTATTTCATTTTAGAAGGTTGGGTTTGGTGCACCAAATTAGATTAAAGTGACTTAGGTCTTTTAATTTTTGTTAAAATGAATGTTTTATGCTAATTTGATGACATAAGATAGAGTGAGAAATATCTTTTTTATTTTTTAATGAAAATTTATAAATGATATCCACCTTAATACTATATTGTTTTATTTTATTTTATTTTTCATTTTATCCAAGTACCTGAAAATTTTGATTATTTAAACGCTTTAGATCTATTTGCAGGAAAAGTGCAATAGTAAATAGTTACTGATGGACCTTTTGGTGTTGCATTTTGCTCCTTCTATGAATGTCATGAATTTTTTCTTTTTCTTAGTTCCTAAAATGAAATGTCCTCTTTGCTTTATAGTTAGCTTCACCAGCAAATGCATATATTTGGTATTACAGGGGTGGAGCCAATTGGGGCACTGGGAGTCCCGGGGCGTTTTTTTTTTTTTTTTTCCTAGTATATATTTTGAACATGAAACTAGAAATAATTTTTATTTAGTTTACTGATAAAAAAAAATTATGCCATTCGTACACTTCCTCCTTACATAATGGATGACATTTGCTGTGCTCTAAAAAAAGTTTTCTTCTAAACAGTCCAATTAAATATATCATGTCTTTAGCACCTTTCGAAAATTTATTCCCAACATTTACTTTGATTTCCATATTCCGTCTTTTTTTATGCAATTTCATTAGCTGCAGGAGCGGATTCAGGATTTTCGATACGAGGGGCTGACACTTAAGAAAGTTAATGTAATAATTTTTTTGGTAAATGACACACAAAAACTAGACACAACCATTTGGAATGAAAATTGAAGAAATATATATATTTCCGAATAGATGGAACCATTGAATTTTCATTTAGGCATCGGATCATATAAACGGAAAAATATTAAACACCAATATTTTTCTATACTCTTTGTTTTTCAAATGAACTTCACATTTTACATTTTTCTATATCTCACCATATTATTTCAAGATTTGTTCTTTAAAAACTATATGAATTACCATAATACATTATACTCAAAAAATTCAAGTGACTAGTAGGATATGATATATAGAAGAATACATAAGTCCAGATTTTACATTTTAGAATCCAAAACCAACAAAATGTGAAATCCCAAAATAATAATAATAATAATAATAAGTAAATAAATAAATAAAAAATCATAACAGGATATTTTCATGTAAAATGCATAATCACCAGATCCTAAATTGTACTAAACAAATCAAGCAATGAGATGAAACTCTATCAACAAACGTGTAAGATTAAAGGCAAATTTATCATTTTGTAATATGTTTTGCACTATAACTATTATACATATTTAAATAAAAATCAATATCCAATTTGGCTAAATTTTACGTCAAAAACTCATCTAAATTACCAATCTCGCATAAATACAACTCAGAGATAAAGCTTATAGCCTACCTTGAAACAATGGAGAAGCAGATTTCCTGAAATAGAACTCATCTCAAAAAATTGAGGGTTGATACTGTGTGTTTGGTGTTCTAGCGACTATGAACGAAACAAGGAGTACAGATTGTCAAAGAGGGGAAGAGAGACATATCTAAGTTTTGGGATTTGAGCTGAGTCTTTTATTTTTGGACTTGGGCTACTATTAATTTGAACCCGGGCTATTGCTGATATGCAAATGGGCTAACGAAAAATATAAAAATAAAAAGAAAGACAACCAACGGACCTGGAATGAGACTGGCACGAGCAGTAGTATGGCCCAGCCCGTGCCTAGATCCGCCTTTGATTAGCTGTAATGTCAAATTCTCTCATGTCAAATGCATAAACTAATTTTTCGACTGGTAAAGATGACAAAGTATTATTTTATATATTTTTATGTACAAAGTTGAACAAAAGTTGATAACTTTATATGTTTTTGCTAAAGTTTATAAATAAAATTTTTAGGTTTCATGTTTTCTTCGTATATCGCGATGATTATCGTATGTCACCAATCGTAGACTACTATAGTAATGATGCCTACTATCAGGGGCGGAGCCAGGATTTGAGTTCAGTGCGAGCAACTTTTTTCGAAGCCAAACGTCGAGGTCTTGGTCATGGATTTAGTGATGATAAAAAAATACTCCAATTTCACATTTCATCGAAGAAGTTTTTAGCTGCACCAAAGAAGTTAGATTCGTTGATAACACCGCCATTTCGGTTGTCGACATCAGCGACTAGTTGGGCCCATTTTCGCTCTGAAGTTGAAAAGTGTGGCGAATTTGGTGTCGAAAGGAAATTGGGAGTTTTTCAACTTTGTCTGAATTGTATAGTAGAACTCTTCAAGATATGATCTTGAATTATTTTATTTTA